GGGGCAGCACTGACGTTCTGAATCTCCCTTCCCAGCCCTGACGTTTCCTATATCAACAGAGCCACCCATGGAAGAAGCAGTGCGTTCCTTCCTTAGTCATCTGGTGTCAGCTTTGACCTCCCTTTGGTCAGCACCCACCCGGAGCAAACATGTGCTATTGTGACTGTAACAGTAAAAGCAAAGCCAGGTTTTGACCGTTAATCAGCATTAGCTGTATTACTGGGAATACATTCAAGAACATGGATAAACTGAAGCTGCAGACATTAAAAACTGAACCTGCTGTGCTCAGCTGCTTCCAGAATTCCTAGTAGCCATTTGCTTTCAACTCGAGCATCTTTCATATTCTTTTCAGCACTGTCCATGGGGTGGTTTGGGCACCCCGGGAGTGCCAAGCAGAGTGGAGGGGCCATCCTGTCTTTCACAGCTGTTTATAATCGCAGGGTCCTGGGACTCTTCCAAGAGATGACACTACCCCCTGGATGGACTGGCTCTGCCTTTCCCTGCCCCTCCAGCTGCAACAATCCTATGACTCCATTTAATAACATCCACTGTGCACCAGCAAATACACAGACGAAATGGCCTTAAGCGTCAGAACAAGATAGCTGGCCCTCTGGAGACGGGACGTCTTCCAATGTTCCCTCCACTGCTTTCAGTACCCACTTCTGAAAGCTTTAGTCCATCATTTCAAGATCAAATGAAGCACACATCCAGCCACCAGGCTGTGACACAAACCCAAGGAGTCAGCCCGCTGAGCTCTCCAGCTACGCTTCACCCACGGTGCTTCACCCACCAACTCCTTCCCTGAAAAAGGGGCTTTACAAAAGTCTCCAACCAACTCATGCAAAGAAAAAAAATGTTTATGCCTCTGAGCAATGGGAAGATGGATGGTCCTTCTCTCTGTCTTCCCACCTTCTGCTGATGCCTAACCTAGTGTGCAAGCAACTTGGGCCAAGATCCTCAGAGATCATTAACAAACTGGAGACTACTTAAAGCAGGCTGACCTTCGAACTGCTTAGCATCTGCCCCCTGAAACCCAGGGTCTTTAACAGTGTCTCAAACTGGGCCCTCACACTATTGTATTTAAAAACCTTGGCCCCTGTCTTTTTTAGATTTCCCCCAAATGACACGCGTGCCGGTAGTTTTGCAGAAGTGAAAAAGAATAATAGCAGCAGCCAAAGTAATTGCATTGCCTCTGAGGAGTGCCCAGGGTATGTAATCTTTAAAAGTCAGGCACCTGGAATTCTGCAGCTCTCAGTGAATTCAAAGGACTTGCAATTCAAAATAATTAGCAGCTAGTAACTTTCCTTTTATGCAAAATAATCTGTTTAATCCAACACCCCAATGAAAATGAATGTGCTTGATTATCTACCAAAGGACCCAATTTTTCTAACGTCAGTGCAAAGCACCCAGCAAGATTCATGTCTCCATTGGCCCTCTATTACAGTCAGCGCCCCTGCTTAATGAACAAGCGGTCGGGACAGACGTGCACTGTGTTGGCGGTTACAGCACAGCTCTTATCAACACTTCAGGCCATGCTAAACCAACACAAATCCAGCGTGGGTTGTATTATTCAGGCTTTTAAGCCTCTGGCCCCACAGGAAGCACAAAGCATAGATAACATGGTGCTTTTAAGCTGCTTTTCAACCCTAGTGCATGAACACATGAACATGTCGCCACCTACGGAACTGATCCACAGCACACCTGCTGCTCCGCAGTAACTGCTTGTATAGACGCTCTGGTCCAGGGGCAAGCAGACCCTTAGCCCTCAAAGGAAGCAACATCCTGTGCTCCCACTGTACCGTGAAGTCCAAGGGCCAGACTTACACCAGGAAAGCGCTGGGGTGAGTGGAGTCTGTCGGTGAATTGCATATGGGTCTTAGCTCTTTTAAATCCAATTTTTTTTACACACACATACCAACCCCCCATAGGCTAAATGGGGGATGTCCAGCCACCATGGCCGTGCCAGGGAGCACTTGCCCATGGCAATAAGCATCTCAACCACGTGATAGTGCAGCACCTAGAACTGTGCTCCAGCTGCTCCAGAAAGGGCCCCCCACCCTTCTCTCTCTTGCAATGGCCACGAGAGCTCACACAACAGGTAAACCCTTCACGCCTGCAGGCAGCAAACAGAAATCCAGTTCTTCACCCTCACCCCTGCAGGTCTTTTCCCGATGGCCGCAAGTGAAGCACAAAGCCGGTCGCCAGGGCACGGCTACCCCCAGCACCTCAGTCACGTCAGCAAGAGCCGAACAGTAAGTGACTTACCCTGTTCTCGTCATAGATGATCTGCACTAAGCTGCGGTGTTTGGACTCGATTGGTGGGGGCGAGATAGGTTTCTCCGGCTCTGGCGGCTTGGCCGCTTCCTCCTCCAACTGTTGCTGTGAAAGGTTGAAAAGAAAAAGAAGAGGTGGGGGGGTTGGGAGGGGAGGAAGAAGAGTGAATGGTTAAAAATAAAAGAAAACACTCAGGCCAGATGAGACTCTCTCCAAAGCTATGACTGATATAGAAAACATAACTGTAAACCACTTCCTGTGAGACATCAGCAAGACAAGGGAGCTAATTGAAGGGGCCGACATAGAACGACTCTTAAAAGCCCCGAGAGAGAAGTGACATACCATGAATTCATCCAACCCTTCCTAGAAGTTTCTAAGCCAGTATTTTGTGGCCACAAAACAGGAGGAAAGCGGCTGTCTTGGTTTGGCCTGGCAGATCCCAACTAGAGCTCTCCCAAATTAAAAACAAAGAACAATAAAAGAGTTAATTGAAAATCCCCAGAAAACGCACAAGAGTGGTCATGAGCTGCTCTCTTTGCTATTCTCCAGGTTTACGGCAAGCCGCTGAGCCAGGGGATATGGGATGACTGTGCTCTTCGGGGAGGGGG